AGTGGATCCTTAATATAGTTTTTCAGAGGTTCATTAGGATAAATGCTATTATTTATTAAGTTTGAACGCTATAGGCATGATGTGGAGTAAATTTATAACTCCCATTCTCCTTAAAATCAGTTTGTTTTGCTTCGACCACATCCTTAAAAACCGAATTAACTTCATTGTGCAAGTTGAAACTGTCGGCTAATATCCGACTTCTAAATTTGAATAAAAATGTCCATTTTCAAACACTGAGCAAAACATCAGCAAAACGTACCTTACCCCTTGCCAAGCTCCCCATCCCAATCCTTCTTCACGTGAAGACATTCCTCTAAAAATATTGATCATATTTGATATGGATTTACAGGATAATGCTTAATCAGCCCGTCCCTGCTATTTTATTAGTTCAGCGTCATTTTAAAGCATTTCAGCAAACAATGATGTTTGTATTATGACGGATGCGGTAAACTTGGAAATCGTTTGCATTGCGACAAAGAGTATACACAGAGTCATAGAGCTTGATCTTTGCAATAGTACGAGGGTGGAAATACCCAATGGCAGCAATTACTTTTGACGAAGTGTCTACAGTAACATTGGTCGGTATTTATAACAATAACAGTAATAATAACCAGACCCTTTACAGAAGGAAAGCTTAGACATCAGACTTAATTCCTTGTTAAACCCGATTTTGGATAAAAGAAAACCCTAGCGTCATTTTGGGTATAACGCGGGACAATATGTCTAACATAATGAATCGTAAGGTGTTAACCATATGGAGGTTTTGCTTCTGTTGAAAAGCGAGATTTGATTAATGTGCCTGACTTCAACATATTTCATCACAGCCTATTTAGAAGCACCTGCCAGCTTCCAAGTTGGACATTGGAATGGTAAATATCCCTGTCTTTCACTTTAGTATAATTATATTATGTTTACTTTCATTTTTCAAAACCGGAAGATTTAAAACGTATTTAGTGTTTATGCATTTTATTAAGCAATAAAGTTTAATTCTCAATACCTGAGTGTCGACAGGTGTCATAAAATTGCACTGATATCTCTCATCAGAATAATCTTTGGCCGGAATTAGGTCATTTTTTTCTTAAAGCACAGAGAAATATATTCTCTGAGTTATTGCGCGTGCAAACATTTTATGTATACCCACATACTATTATAATTAAAACCAACACAAAAAATTGCTTAGCTACTAGCGACAGTATTAGCTATTTGTTGGAGCAAACGTCGAAAGTACACACGCGCACACATACATACACAAAATATTATTTAACTGTAATGTTCAAGAAACACGTTATGTGAACCCATCATAACATTAATGACTTTGTTACATGTGGAAATAGCATAACACATTGATCCATCAGGCGTATACTCTAATCACTATATATTTAACTGCACCATAAACATATATTTGATCGACAACCATTGCAAAAACATAAGGCAGTGCAGACAGTAGTAATGACCAATCTAACTATATACGGATGATGATCATAATAATACTAGTAAAAGTATTTAACCAACAGCAACAAATAATGAATAATAGTACTAATAATAATAATAATAATAATAAAAGTAGTAGTTGGATTTATGAAGCACTCTCTGGGGGTTCAAAGAACTAAATATCATAATTATGGAGCGCCAGGAGTGGCAAGTCTGAAAGACATGAGAATTACTGGTATCCAAGAACCCGCTATTATCAATGTTATTATTATTATTAACCTCAGTAAATAAAATCCACAAAAAAAAATCATTATAATTTGTTCTAAACAAGACTTCAGAATATAGTATGAAACATCGAAATACTGGTCATAATCACAGCCTCTTGTTTGCATTAGGTCCTTAAACACATACTTTTCAGATGAGAGGGAGGTATTAGAAGGAAAATGTAATTCAGCACAAATTCAGCAAGAAGTGTGATATCTATCTTTGATTCTTCTTCTTCTCCACAGATTTAAAAACACAAATAGCAATTATCAACGGGGATTTGATCATTGTGACAAAATGGCAAATACTGTAGTTGTAAAATTATCAAAACAATTACAAACAATACAAATATATGAATGGTAATGCATATCTTCCATTGAAAAATGAAGGACTCACCTATAACAATAGCTGCATATGATGGCAATAAGCACCAAAATAATTACATATAAATATGTATGTGGCAATAACAAACAAAAAGCACATAAATATGCTTATATATAGACATAAACGTCACATATATGATAGTTTTAAAAACGAATTATATAAATATACATCTATACTTTTTAAGAGCATATATTTGATAGTCGAGTGAAGAATTCTTTATACAGTCAGTAATATCCCAGTTCATTTGTTCATGATTCACATTTGATCAATCGGTGTTTAATAGAAAAACACGTCATTTGAAAATGTTCATTTAAATTCTCTTTTTGCATTGAAAATTGGAATCAAATGGTTTATTCAGAGCACACACATATTCAACCATATTGCTCAAATTCTACATTGGTATACAGTGTCCAATTATGGGTGATTTATGTCAAATGGCATGGCCATGCCTGCATTATATCTGCAGAAAAATCATCTTCAAAGATGACTATGAACGTTGTAGTCATCAGCAACACTGCAATCAGCTATTGCTCTAGACTGAAAGTGCACCACTCACCTAATATACAATTTATTATGTATGGCTAGAATGTTTTTTTCATTTTTTGTTTATATCACTTTACCAGGCATTCTATTAGCCAGCGGATAACGAGTATCAAGAAAATAAAGAATGAGAAAAGAACCCAAGTCTGATAGGGTTCTGTGCGGGCCGCGTCTTTTTTTCCGTAAGGTATATCGTGTCGCTGCGTTTGCTTGGCTCAATAGGACATATACGTCATGCGCTAGTCATCAATATTCATGATACGCATGCCCACAGAATCTGACGCGATAATTATCAAATATGAGATTTCATACAAATATTACAAATGCAAAGCTAAGTTTACTTTAAATAAGTGACATTGCGACAAAATCGGGAGGCTTACATAAATGAATGACTACCCAGGTCGTAACTTGTCCATAATCATTGCGACATACTGGTTAATTTAGTCCAGAATCTAGCCGATTTAATTTTGAATTTGAAATATTCATATATTCAAATATTAATATGCATTCTAGGATGGCTACCTTACCGAAAAAAGTCGCGTGCGGGCCCTATTCTGTGCAAACAAATATGGGTGCATCAACTTGAGGAGTCTACTCTCAAGTCAATGTTATGTTCATTGAGAGTGCATACAAACTTGCAGTATCTCTTAAAGCCCCACTGCACTACTTATAGCTACTTGTGCCCTCTATACAGCAAACAATGACTAAGCGGTGACCGTTGGTACCCCATGATCCCCTTTTTCTTACGTTAATTAAGAGCTGATTTGATGAGATAACCACCTGTCAGTGACCATGCATGGAGGCCTAATCCCTTTTGGCCAAACTAGTGCAGATAGGCTTTGATACTACTAGTACTAGTTGTGAAGCTCATTTTTTAAATATAGTACAGCTACATGAAACCCCTAATATAAAGAACAATATATTGGTGATGGTTTTTCATAAAATAACGCCCACATCAAATAGTTATAACAGACAGACTGTGCAGTATAACCACCAGAGAGGAAATTAATATTTGTGATGATAATAACTAACATTTATGAAATAAGACTGTCAATGTGTATTGTATTATGCTAAAAGTGCAACATATATCATATGAACTCACTGAGATGCATATTACATTCAGACTTGTGAACAAAGTTGATACAAGAAGTGAAAAGTTCTGAAAAAGTTTGTGCAATTTTTTTAGATATCATGCGACAATGTTAATATCATTCACTATTATTTGGCATGCATTATGTGAACTTGACGGACTACTTTTTCAAATGGATATAAAGTTACTGAAATGAAGTAAACAAGCCTGCTATTATACCGTTTATTTTACATGAATGTAATGTAGTTATGTAACATAAGAACTTTGAAATGTTTCATAAATTGATTACATGTTATATCTTCTCTATCTACACTCTTTGATTAAAACTATACTCGGTTTCTTTTGTACAAAAATGTCTCAAACATGCAAACTTTGGTCACATTGTTTTGAAAGAGGTTACTAAAACATTTTGAAATTCCTATTTCACATAAACTTTAGCTTTATGTACATTGTATAAGGCAATTCCATAAATAATATATTAATATTGATAAGGAAACAAAACTATTGAAGAGTAATCATATGCGAATATTCCAATTCTTAATAATTGCACTACATTTTAAGTGTTGGCATAATATATATTGCTCAAATTCAATAAATTATAAACAGACAAATTATATACCTTCCCAAGAAAAATTACACAATGGCAAAATAATAATGAGGTACACAAAAACGCTATCTGCATAATGAATTAACCCGCAGTTCTAGAGTATCTAGTGTACACACACACAAAAAAAATGGCATCAAATTGTATGCATACAAGAGTATTGGACAGAATATCTAATTTAAAGGGACTTGGTAACATTGTTCAGATGAGAGATAGTGGTGCTAAGGTAATGAATTCAATGCTAGATGTACAATTAAAGATAATCTGAAAATTTGAGTGAAAATGGACCATTATTCATGGTACAAATTGGGAAAAACTGATCTGATCCGATTCCTTAATTCTCCCAAGTATATTATTACAATTTAATTACATTTTAGGTGAATGGAAATCTCACAAAGCAATAAAATGGCTCTACATTCCATTCCAGACATTTAAGTGTTGACAGATTTTTTTATAGCCTGTTTTATGTCTTTTTTTCATGGAAAAACGGTTGGGAAAATTAAAAAATGGTTGGGAGAATTTACTGTTAATCACTGTTAAAGGGTGTCGTACATCAACGCCTTCAAAGAAAACCATAGATATCTTTGTGGTTTGAGAATTTGTTCAGGATTTTTTGCATGTTAAGGGTCAGTAGAGTAGAAGGAATATAGTAAGTAACATTTTATAGAAAAATTAAGCAATTTTTTTATCAACCTTCAACAATGTTACCAAGTCACTTTAACCAACACGGCAGAGTCAGAAACTTTATCACCATTGTCTTACAAAATCTTTCCAATTTGTACAAATATCCATTATCACAACCATAATTCAAATTTACACAACCGATCATATACAGATAAATATAAATATTCTTGGTGGCTAAACTTGTGCACTATCGTTATATGAGGAATGAATATGTCATAAAACATTTAGAATGGTCCTTTCGTAATCTCATCCTACATACACACATGTACAAACATATTTCTACTCTCAAGAAAAGGGGGCAACTGAAATCGCCAACAGTGTACGTGCAGGTTGTGAAAAGTTCTATCAACAGAATGTATCATTTCATCAAATTTGGCCGTGCACATCAATACAGGCTATGTCATACTCGCACAGACAGGACCACAGACATTTTTTCTTCTTCTCTCAAATAGTTGGTCCTTTCTAACTCAAAAGAGGGAATTTCCTTGACCTTTGACCTCTCACAGAACTCTTGAGTTATCCTGATCAAACTGACTCGGACAAAAACAAGTTGCATGTCATTGCAGTTCAAGCTAGGAACAGGCAAGATACATATACCGTTGCCAGCTTACACATTAGGGGGGGGGGGGGGATTGAAGATCGAACAGAATCCCATTCGACAGCTGTATGCTTGTGAACATGTACACAAAGGAATCACACCACATCTCAAACATTCTTTCATGCTAGATAAGCAAATTTGATTTAATACACCAAGAATATAATCAAATATTGCAAGATTTGATCCAGAATTTGGCAAGCATAATATGAACGACTCTAAAACACAGAGAAGCACGAGAGAGAGAGAGAGAGAGAGAGAGAGAGAGAGAGAGGGGGGGGGGGCATAGAGGTCAGAGAGAGAGAGAGAGACACACACACACACAGACATAAGATTATAATGTCTTATCTGTCCCAAACCGGTGATTCTGAACATAACAGTAGCTGGCGCTCTTCACTTTCCAATGAATGCATATTCGAGTGCCATTCTATGGGGTGATTGGAAGTGTTACTCATGCGAAGAGCCAAGTGAGCTGAAGTAATGTAGGAAGTCTGTCTCCCTCTCTCATACAGGTATCAATTCAATCTTTGAATTTTCTTCCCATTCATACAAAACTAGATAAACATTTCTTTTCAAATACAACATTTAGTGATTGTCAAGAAGAGATTACAAATCTAACATTATCATGTCTATGTAGGGTGTGACCAAGTGTCGAACAATATACAAAGATTAGAAAATGAGCAGCACTGTATATTTGAAAGTGCATAAAACTATTCTGTGCTGATGTGAAGGCACGCATTCCCATGCTACGTAGATTAGTGAACTCCTGAACCTACCCAGTTGTGCCGAAGAGCGGCTAGTGAGTGGAGATTTTGAAACAGCCGGCCACTAGTATTTCTGATATCGTGCAACAACGTGCTACCTAATGTGCAACATTTCATGGACTAATCGGCACACTGAGAAAACCACGATGTGCTTTGAGTGGCTTTCATTCTGATCGGCAAAGTCACCTTACTAAGTTGACGATGAGGTGCTGTTCGCTTGCCACGGAGTGCGACGTTGCTGCGATCGATCAATCGTCTCAGTTGTAGGCAGGCGATGCGGTATTTACCACATCATTCAGAATACATGCCTTTGAAGCGCTCATCATACCCGGGTCCCATCATCGTAGGACGTTATCGAGAGGTCTGTCCTCGAGTTGTCCACCTTTGCCTCGCTCTGCTCCGGCGATTCCACCTTCTCCACCAACGGCTTGCTCGGCTTGTAGAGCACCACGGCCAATACGCAGAAGAGGATGGAGAGGAGCTTGAGGACGACAAGCAACGTCAGGGTGTACCGACTGAAGAGAGTGTTGTTGTAGGTCCAGCACTTGCGGCTTTTGTCTGCCTGGTACTCCCATAGCAGGCACGATCGGTCGATGAGGGCGCCAAACACAACTGGACCTGGTACACTGCCTGTTGTTTGATGGCCAAGCGAAAGGGGAAATAAAATCAGGAATGGGGTTATATTAATACTTGACTTTGAAAAGACTTGGCTCAAAATGGTAGTTAGTGACTAATTTAGTGAATAATTATTTGGTTTGTAAAATTAACCAGGACTATTCAACTAGCAAAATACTGCCAGCTTCATCTTTTGATATACATAGCTCCATGCTTCAATCTAATCATCAATTGTCATATGAAAACTACATCTTAATTTTAATTTTCTGATGAAGAAATACAACAAGAACCTTCGTAATGTTTCAAAATATTGGGTGACCATATGTAGACACTATGAACATGACGGACAAAGAAAGCGGACAAAATATACAGTTCCTCATTCTACCTTCAACAATTGCTGTGGTAGACAAAGGAACTTCCCTTCACTGCTATTATGTAAAAATAAGTAGCACAGGTGAATATGCATGTGACACCTGTTCTACACATTTGTACATAATAGCAGTGAAGGGATGTTCCTTTGTCTACCATAACAATGGTTGAGGGTAGAATGAGGAACTGTATATTTTGTCCAATTTCTTTGTCCGTTATGTTCATAGTGAGAGAATGATATTGGTAATTCATACTCACCAAGTAACCTGAACATCAATGACTGCAGACCAAGTGCATAAGTCCGCTGGGATCTTGAAACAACTCTGAAAAAAGAGCAAAAAATCATTGCCACGTCAGCATCCAAAGTTTCAAGCACATGTACCTCTACATAAAGCGTCTTGATATTAATGTGATAGCTTAAAGCACATCTGTACTAGTTTGGCCAGGGGGATTAGACCTCCCTGCAAGGTCACTGAGAAAAAGGAGATCATGGTGTTACATACTTACAATGGTGATACAATAATATGTGCTTATATGATTATGGGACAATATTTCTTATTTATAACTTCAGAAATATTAGTGCTTTTTTCTGCCATTATCATTGCTGTGAAAAGAGCTGTGCTTAAAAGTAAAATCATGGAACATTTTTCATTATCTACACATTTTTGTGAGTTTCTTTTAAGTGTACTAAGTTCAAGACTGTAATCCATATTAATCCTAAAAACAATGGATCAATAAGAAAACAATTTGGCTCATAAAGTGGCATAGCTACAGTGAGGGAGGGGGGGGGATGGGCATATATAAGTCAAATGGCAAGAAGACCAACAAAAGGAAAGGAAAGGAAAGTGAAAGGGGGAAAAGGAAAAAGATGAAAAGAAAGATGATAGGACTCACTCCTGATCCTGCAGCTTCCCCTTTGACCCACACTGTGCCAGCGATCTCCCACAATCACAAATTTGTAAGCTAGTATAGAAACCTTACAGCCCTTCTGCACTAGTTTGGCCAGGGGGATTAGACCAACCTGCAAGGTCACTGACAGGTGGTTATCTCATCAAATCAGCTCTCATTAAACATAAGAAAAAGGGGATCATAGGGGACCAACAGGCATAGATTAGGGATTGTGTGCTATATAGAGGGCGCAAGTAGCTATAACTTAGTGCAGTGGGGCTTTAAGTCATCATACCTCAGAGTTCCTGTTATCATAGGAACGGTGGCCAAGAATGTGAACGTGATCATCAGGAGTCATCAAATCAGCTCTCAATAAACATAAGAAAAAAGGGATCATGGGGGACCAACAGGCACCAATTAGGGATTGTTGCTATAAAGAGGGCGCAAGTATCTATAACTTAGTGCAGTGGGGCTTTAAGTCATCATACCTCAGAGTTCCTGTTATCATAGGAACGGTGGCCAAGAATGTGAACGTGATCATCAGGAAGAGAAGAGCAAAGAACGGTGCCCGTAGAGGGCAGTCTGTCACACACCTCCCTGACAAAGCGCCACCTTGCGACGCTGCGGGAGTACTTGTAATATTATTACTCTTTACACAATGGCATTCGTTGTACCTCTGCATATGCATGAAAACAAAAAACGAAAGAAAATATAAAAAATATTCATGAAAGTGTGATGTTATTCTAGCTAGAAACAAAGACCACTAGATATGGTTGATATTCATCACACTAAAATGAAATACACTCTCTTTGTATACTTTGAACTTGATAGTTTTTGTATTCAAGTCCTTTGGAATAAGAGAATTCAAAAGTCAAGTTATTAAATAATGGGAAAAAAAAAAACTTAACAAAATGTTGTTTACATTCTAAGTTTGTTGCATAATGAAAGAAAGGGTTGGATATTCATGATATGGAATCTTTTGATAATAAATTGCTTTTTTTGGTGGGGTTCATGCTACAGCTTCATTTCCATTACATCATGATATAGGCCTAATGTTTTTTTCTTTTTTAATTGTCAATCACATACAAATATATCCAGGAATTACGAGGCTACAGGATAATGAAAAGATTGGTTGGGATCTATGCCTGAACCACAAAATATTACACATGCACTGGCATAAGGTTAAAAACATCAAGATCAATGGCTTCAGTGGTCAAATTTGGTGACCTCATCTTGACTGTCATTGAAATTTATTTGACAAATTTAATCTGAGGCGTATTAGTCATTGACCTTTGATATTTATTGGAAGAGGGAATATACTAATTAAAGCCAGTCATCTAAATGACAGAAACAAGGCATAGTGTAGAATAGTACTTTGACAGGCAATGTTTGGTATTTCAATTATCCAGACTGTTATTTGCCATGAGTTCGAGGTCAAACAGTATCTGTTATGCCCAAGCAGCACAGGTTTATTTGAGAATCAAGGACTTGAGCGATTCTTCAAAGGTGATCTGAAAATTTGCTCCAACAATGATTGGTCGGGGCTTAATTTCATCAAAAGTGTAAGGTTAGGGTTAGAATAGCTATTGGTTTAATGGTTAGGTTTAGGGTGAGGTATAATATTCGGTCCTGGATTGACGTTCAGAATTTGGTGAGTAAAGGAAATTACCACAAAGCAATTGTAGCAGGAGCATGTGTCACACTACCTCTTTATACCTGAATCATTTTTTGTTGTTGAATTTTATTTTTTTTTAAAACGGAACTTTGTATAACAAATATTAAATGCAACATGACCATGTAATAGAACATTTTCGTAATCAAATTCAATGCATAGTTCTTTAGTGAAGTGCCTCGATACAAATTATTTCATTCACCTATTATGAATAATTGTATCCTAACAGTCAGAATGAGAATTGCACACATTAGTTGTTGCTAGGTAGGACAAACAATAAGGCTTGCCCTACCTAGCAACACGTGATACATGTACACATGTATAAGCAATTTGCGCTCTGATTATTGTAATAGTGACATAATTTGTATTGAGGCACTTTACAAAGATGTATGCCATCAATTTGTAAAATTACGAAAATAGCCTATTTAATGAAATCAAAGAAGAGTGATATATATTTAAAAGTAAAGGTTGTGAAACAAATAATCAACCTACCTCTATACTATCCTCTGCATCTTCCTGTGTATTCATACAGCCAGCATGGCAGGCAGAATAGTACATGACGTTATCCTCTCCGCACACGGGTTGGAATTCATTAGCACAGTGGCAGTCAGCGTTACAGCCTGCTGTAAGATTCGCTTCATCGCCACTGTATGCCATCGTCCTGCGGTAGAAATATTATAAAGACTCGATGAAGATGTGCACTATGTTAGTAGTAGTGGTGGTTATTGTACCTGACTGCTAAGAAAGCATAAATGCTTGTTAGTAAGCAACCAGAGGAGCGACGGCTTTAGGTCCTCTCCAAGGTTGATAAACTGTATATCACAGTCTGCTTTGTTTGATGATCAATGCGATCTATCTGGATGGAATGAAAGAATGAAAATATATCAAGGCAGAAAATGAGCCCTATGTTGATTGTTACTCTCTAAAGTATCAAAGCCTGGTTGAAGGTTCCCTTTATTGTAATGTACCTCGGTACTTCATTATATTCCTGTATGAACAAAAGAATTTACGAATAGAAGCACTAAACAAGGCTGAAATTAAACATTTGTGGAACAGGTAAAAAATTTCATCTCTCTTGCTCATTTCTCGATACTCTACTACCGATATATAACAATATGTTGGACAGATGTAGTTAATAGTTTGTGAACATTCAGTGTCAATCTAAACATTTCATCTAGTGAAGTGTGTGTAAATATGCCGATTAAAAAATAATTGTGTTGGTTTTTGCATATTATTATTCAGCAGTCTTCAAAGGAATCCAAAATTTGGGACTGAAATTCAAATCGCAAAGGTTTTTAATCTAATATTAAAGTTTACTTTTCTATTGTTTGTAATGACCTTGAATGACCTTGAATAATCTTTCCGATTCACATTTGCCAAACTGTCATTAAAATATCATAACGTTTTTTTTCTCAAAATATTTTCATGGTTTTGGTATCAAAGGAAAGAGCAAGGACTAAGCTTTCCATTTATGGCATGCTGCCCTCTCTAGGGCTAGTCTATATAGACTCAATTCCTCAGAATTGCACAGGTAAATTGCGTTGCCTCAATCTTCATACTGGATATTTGAATGCGTGAAATTTGCCTTTTGTATTTCTTTGTTTTTAGAAGTAGGCTCAATAGAATATTTTCTTATGTATTTCCTTATGTTGCCAAATTAAACTTTTCCATTTGTTTTGTACTGCTGCTTATATTATTCCTTATGTACTACCCTTCACAATGATATATACTTTTAACTTTTTCTGTCGTCTCACTAGATAAAATCCCTAAATGAGTGTAGTGACTTGAACTTTACAAAGGTCACAAATGTTTATCAACATTGTAAATAGCCAGCATTTTAAACATTCCTTTTGTTAGTACTTTCCGTTCAGCCAGCTTCAATAACAATAACAATTTACAGCTGCACATTCTACACATTCTCTGAGTTTATTTCATCCATGGAACCACCCAGCAACAAGAGTGTTATTTTAGTTACTCCAATCGGACCGCACCTTATTGTTTTAATAAGCCAATCATCACACTTTTAGCGCACTTGGAAAAGTCTCCACACACGGATTTTACTCACTTCTCTTGTTTTCAGTTTCATCAATCGGACGTGTTTTTTATAGGACGTTTTCGGATTATTCAACAAGCGTTTTCTCATTAGTTTTCACGTTAATTAGCGAGTTTCATCATCATCATTTTATTTGAGGACTGAATCGCAATTAGATTTGTCTTCTATTTAATTTCGGGAAGTGTGAACTGTAAGGTTGTGTGCCTTCATCATATTCGTGTTTCGCTAGCTAGCTAGTCGCGCTCCACGTGCTGATTCATCACTCCGCTATATCGCACTATTCTTCCTCTTCATGATTCGCCTTCCAGTTTCTTTCTACACTCGAGATATCAACGCTGAAGATTATTATTAACGGTAAGAATATTCATTTAGTTTCTCCACAACATTTATTCCTACATGAGTTTTGTGAGAATTCCATCTTTTGTAATTTGAACGAAATTCAAGATAACATTTGAACAAGATATCCTTTCTCTTACCCATTCCCGTAGTCGACCGTAACTCGGGTAAAGGAACAGGTCAAATTTTCATCTCTCTTGCTCATTTGTCACTACTCTACTAACAATTTGTTAGACATATGCATTTAATGGTTTGCGAACATCCAGTGTCAATCTTAATTAGTTTCGTGAGAATTCTATCTTTTGTAAGTTGAACAAAATTCAAGCTAACATTTGAATAAAAAATGTTTTTTGTTTGGTTTGGCAACCTATCTTTATTTTTGTTATTTTATAAGCAAAACACTATATATTCTCTGCGAAATACAAAAGGGAACGTCTTTCATTTCTTTTAAGAAGATGTTTAAACGTTGTTATGAAGTTGAGCGGGTTCTATCAAACGCAATAAATTTGTTGTATTACTTGATAAATGGAGACATGTGCAGCAAATATAACAATGTTTGTTTTACCGATATGTCACAACATGTACTTTGTTCAAATCTATTTTTTGTTCTTGCTCAAGAATGATTGAACAAAAATTTTCTTTGGACAAAAAAGGGGAAGCAAAAATATCCTTTCTCTTACCCATTCCCGTAGTCGACCGTAACTCCGGCGAAGGATGCGTTTGGGCAGCTGATCATGAACGTGAATGTTAGAAGGAAAGACGCACAGAGACTGACCAGTACGAACTTCATCATCCCACGAAACTTGAGATCGAAACGTTTGACCATGTAGCCTCCGACCAAAGCACCTAACACACTGGACGGCGTGACCAGCAAACCTGAATGAAAATTAACAAAGGTGAAAGAGGACATGATAATAAATAAATAGTTTATGAAATATCACAATTGTTTCACCCATTTACATATTCATTTTGTTAGGAAGAGGGTGGTCTAAAATATTATACTTGAGATCGAAAGTTTGAATCTTTAGCCGCCAACCAGCAGGCCTGGATAAAGATTGAACAAATTATGAATAAGAACAAATAACTTCCAATGGATACATTGATGTGTATTTGAATTATTTTGTTCTTTTGAGAGTGGTGCATGGTCTAAATAACTTGAGCATGCAATATACTTAGATCGTAATGAGGTGGGCGTAAACTATGGTCGGAGTTGCGTTGCATTTTAATAACGTTCATCATAGTTTGATCGTTATACATGGGCTTCAATTTTGGTGAGAGTCGCGTTGTATTCTGACAAAGATCGTCATAGTCCGATCGTTATAATGAGCTTAAACGTTAGTCAGAGTCGCATCATAGTCTGTCAAAGGTTGTCAAAGTCCGATCGTTATAAGTGGGCTTAAACTTAAGTCGGAGTCGCACCATGGTCCGTCAAAGGTCGTCAAAGTCCGATCATTATAAATGGGCTTAAACTTAAGTCGGAGTCGCATCATGGTCCGTCAAAGGTCGTCAAAGTCCGATCATTATAAGTGGGCTTAAACTTAAGTCGGAGTCGCATCATGGTCCGTCAAAGGTCGTCAAAGTCCGATCATTATAAGTGGGCTTAAACTTAAGTCGGAGTCGCATCATGGTCCGTCAAAGGTCGTCAAAGTCCGATCATTATAAGTGGGCTTAAACTTAAGTCGGAGTCGCATCATGGTCCGTCAAAGGTCGTCAAAGTCCGATCATTATAAGTGGGCTTAAACTTAAGTCGGAGTCGCATCATGGTCCGTCAAAGGTCGTCAAAGTCCGATCATTATAAGTCAGCTTAACATTTGGTCGCAGTCGCATCGTTGTCTGTAAAAAGTCGCTATAGTCCGATAGTTTTAGGTGGGCTCTTTGTTCGTAGTCGCATCGTATTCCGTCACAGTTTATTCATAGTCCTATCATTATAAATGAGCTTAAACGGAATCGACTAGGATTATTTACAATGTTTGTCATATTCACAAAGTTTCATTGAAGTCCGGTCGTAAAGTGGCCGTTCTCATATCATTTCAAGACCAAACTTCGAAGATTGATCGCATATGTATTTTGAGCTGTTAGGTGTGCTTCAAACTTGTTCGGAGTCGGAGTCGCATCTATTCCGATAAATTCGACACAGTCTCTGCGAGCTGAGGCTCACTGACGTACATACCTGCTGTTATAGCGGCAGAGCCCGACGTCATGTTGAACTGCGACTCGAGGTACTTGGGTCCGAACACGGCGATGGAGGCGAGGCTGAAGGTCTCCGTCACGGTGATCATACTGACGCACATGAAGGCGGGGTTTCGTATAAGCATCCAGGTCGCCCGAGGGAAGTCCATCAGGCTCTCGCTGAAGCCTGCCCGGACCTCGAACTGGTGGCCGTTGTGCGCCTCGTTTCGACGCTGCTCACGGACCTTCTTTGCTCCTAAGAAACAACGATAAAACAGAACAGGTTGAAAGCAGGGTCATCAATGATAGGGATGCTAGTTAGAATTGATCAGAGGCCCTGAAAATCACCTAGAATGAGCTATTTTGTACACAAAAAAGCCTAAACTATGGTTTGAAAATAATTTGCCAGGGCCTGAATTCGGGCTTTTGCCTGAAAACTGGCATCCCTGCAATGAAAGGGATAAGGATTTCCACCTACATCAAGGATATATCCCTCAGTAATACTTAACAAAACAGCAGGTCAACAAAAATTTAATCCTCCTATATTATAACTTGTGTTTTTGTACTAAAAACCTGATCACTTTTTATAATTTTAATTCTTTCCTAGTGTGAAACAAATATTCATAAAATTAGCTTTGTAGATCTTTCACGTAATACTTCCTTTCTGTTGTTGTTTACAGAGTTCAACAAGAACATGCTTTTCATGCGAATAAAATCAGTATTTAACATAAAGCTTCCTGAAAATTATGTAAACCGCTTTTATAAGCACCATCACAAAAGAGGATATTCAAATATGGAGATTTTTACCTGGTAGTGGCCGCGTGAATCCACACAATGGAAAGGCTAACATGCTTTTCATGTGAATAAAATCAGTATTTGGAATAAAGCTTTCGGGAAATGATGTATACAGCTTTAAGCACCATCACAAAAGAGGAAATATTAACAAATGTGGAGATTTTTGTTTACCTGGTAATGACCGCGTGAATCCACACAATGGAAAGGCTAACATGCTTTTCATGTGAATAAAATCAGTATTTGGAATAAAGCTTTCGGGAAATGATGTATACAGCTTTAAGCACCATCACAAAAGAGGAAATATTAACAAATGTGGAGATTTTTGTTTACCTGGTAATGACCGCGTGAATCCACACAATGGAAATGCTACTATAAGAGCCAGTGTACCTGTGACAAGGAATCCCATCCACCACGCACCCACCCATACTGGACTCCGTGGTGTGATGTCAAGTCTAGAGAAATAAGAGGAAAATAAATAGATAGAAAACATCATTGGAAATGCATGGTAATATGGTGGCTATAGGTTCAAATAAAGTAGACATGACAACACCATCGTTTTTTAAGACCATTATGATATATCTAATAACTTGAAATGGAAAATAATTCTAAAATCGCAAAAACGAGAAAAGTATTTCAGACTAGGACACCATTTCATCAAACTTGTCATCAGTAAAAAAAAAAAAAAAAAAAAAAAAGACAGCTTTATGTTAAAAGCTAGTGAAATCCTTGTTTTTGATTTGATGTCAGCAGATGTTTGTCATTTGTCATTGAAAAAAAAGGCTTAAAGTTTGTGAAACGGGTCCCTGTTGCATGAATTGTCACTACCAATGATATATGTCTTTACATTTAAGGACAAACAAGATCTAGTTACAATAATCACAATTGTTGTTGTATTATTTGCCATTTCGTGTAATATTATACGATTTTCATTTGTCACAGGAAATATTGTTCAACATCGCGTGCTACAAATCATTAAATATAGCCTCGACCCTGTTTTTTGTTCTGTTTTTTGTTCTGCGCGGCTGGAACTATAGTTTAGATCCATTTATCCTCGAAGCTATTTCGGCCAGGCACGTCAAGTATCAATAGCACTGATATGACTTCACCATGGAAGAAAAGTGAGATAATCGCTTTTGCGATATTTGATAGGTAGATAGCTTTATTAAAAAATATTGAAATACGCTTTCATGTTGTTGTTGTTTTGTTTTTTAATTTATAAAAGTTCCCTTTTTTCTCGTTTATTTGCTATCTATTTTTTTCCTGACAGCAATAGAAACCTCACAAAATGTCACCCAGATAAAGATTACAATGAAATCCAGGGAGAAATGGATATCGCACACAAATAGAAAACATGCAAGACAAGTTTCCATAGCCGGATGGAATCTAGAACTTCATGTATTAATGGGATACAGAGTCAGAGAGCTTAACCGATCATCACGAAGGTAGCAATGCAAAACTATGAATCGTTACGATAGCATAAACTTTACTACTTTTAAATAACAATAAAGAAAATTCTGTTGTTTAAGCTATACTTGATTTAGACAATTAATATTTTGATAAATAAACAAAGTTTAAAATTGAAAAAATGACCGAAGTCTCCAATATTAGGCGGCTCTCCTTAACAAGAACTGATTTAGGTTTAAAAAAACCTTCAGCAAAAAATTGTAATGACTTAGGCATTAACTCTGTTAGCCCGACGAAACACAAAATACACTTTGAAGAATAGTTGAGTTTTGATAAAGATGAATATACAGTGCGTCCCAAGAAAAACGAAACCGAAAATGATCGATGTTTTATCCTAACTTAATCACAGTTATAATTAATAAATGACATACCCTTTCTTCAGATTGTGTTTAATCACTCATGCGTGAAATATGCATCATAACACTGCATCAAATGAAAGAAGAGGATCTAAGCTTAACAAATATGTGTCATTTATTATAGATGTGATTAAGTTATGATTAAGTTATGATAAAACATAATTCTCAATTTCGTTTTTTCTGGGACGCACCGTATATACATGTATCTTTTTTAAATTCTCTTTAATCCTAAGTTGAAGAATATCAAATAGAAATGTCATTCAAGTGAAATGGATTGCTCTTCATATGCCCTCACATGACGAGAAATAGCTGAAAACGTGGGACCAAACTTTCATGCCACATGCGTGTGTGTGTGTGTGTATGTGTGTAATGATTCGATACATCCTTTTGTGTATGCACTGGATACGATTTTCTGCTCGACCGTCCGAGTCTTTTTCTCATCATTTGGATCATTTAAAAACCTCCCATTAAATATCGATTTTCATGTAACCTTTCCCAATCGTTTCCAGACAGTATTTATTTCACAATGTAATCGCCAGAATAACTTCGTATTCAACTCTCATATATACCCTCCAATCCATTAAAGGAGAATTTCCGTCTGTTCACGATATACATAATAACATGAGCAAAGGAAGGCCATCTTGATGAAAAATCTATAAACAAACGAGCAATTAACTCATATGTAAGAATTCAATGAAAATGATACACACACATGACGCAATTAACGCTGGTTTCCTATAGTAGCGAAAACAAGGCTATTATTATCATTTGAATGATAAATCGTGACTGTGCTTTTGACCGAAAGCCTTGTAGTATCGTGTCAAGGCGAACACCTTGCCAGTATGATACAATTATACAAATAGGATATTCAAGCAACAAACTTGAGTGTGTGTTTCGTTTGTTTGTTTTCTTTATTCTTGTTTTATTTTGTTTTTGTACAATCTTTGGTCATGGAAATGATAAGATGGTAATGGTATACTACGATGGCAGGTCCATCGCCAAGATATTTATAACGGGGAAAGGATGTGTCGGGGCCAACCCGAACAACAACAAAAGTCATCAGAATTTGAAAGTATATATATCTACATGATATTTACAATGGTCTAAAATGTTTGACTATATTTTTGCCTATACAAGTCTTGAATTTGCCTACTTGAGTTTTGATCATCAACAGGTAGTCAAACTACACCCCTCCCCTCCTCAAATTTAACAAAATCACAGTCCTTTAGTTTGCACTGTTGAAATAGCTAACCAACCAATATCATCTCTGAAATGGAAACTGTCGCTTTTGCCATCAGTTTTTGTCATAATAATGGTCTAAAGCAACACCCCAGGTACTTTTCAAGGCCGTACAATGTTTATAATTGATGCAACAAAAGAAAACATCTTTCAAAGTTATTTCCTCGTTGGACTAAAAGCGGATCTGAAGTTGGCAATCGAAACGGGATGTGTTGGTCCGGAGCCAAGGTCAATGTGTAAACTGGGTCATGACCTTACTTAAAAACACAAACTTCTAAAGTGCGAAGAGCATCAAACTTTGTTTCCAAACCAGATAAAGGTGAGTTCTGGTAATGCAATTGCATTGTGAAAGAAAAGGTGTGGAATGGATCAGAAAAAGTTGATCATGTATAGCATGTAAAAGTATTGGTGTGCACTACAAGGTTCTGGAATCATCAAAATCATAATAAATTTGGCCCAGTCTTGGTAAAATAACAAGCACTGTACACAGAAAGATGTATATGGGACTACACAAATGGTGTCGGGGCTAGCTTACCTTGATTTCCTTATCTTTCTATGCTCATTACTCAGCCAGTATACATTTTCTTCCAAAATTGTTTGGCACATGACATTTATTTGTAATCTTGAACATTCAGTGTAAGTTTTGTTTGATTCTGTGAGAATTCATTTTCTTTTTTTTTACCAGAACTCAAGTTTATCTTTAATCAAGAGACCTAAAAATCAGATGCACGAACAGAAAGAGTAAAAAATGTATGCACAAACTGTGTCCATTTTCGTTGCAATTGACGTTTGAGCAAGGAACTTAAAAAGGTAAATAAGTCTTTAACTTGGCAGCATGTTGCAACGTTTGAAGAAAAACAAAAAGGAAAACAAATTGTTTTCGGTAAAAAATTGCAAGTTTTAACCATTCGGCAAAGTGTGTACACATTGGTTTCAGAGACGTTTCATTACACAGGATAGCAACTACTTTGGAAATCAACCTTATTTCTATAGCCTTGCGCGCCTTCTATTGAAATGTACAAACATTATAATGACGTAATACGTGATACAAAAACACTTTCAAGTAGACATAAAACAGGGTATTGAAATTAAAAATTGTTTATTGACAAAAAGTTGCGATCGTATTAACTTAGAACAATGAAGCCTTAAAAGAAGAATATGATTGTTGCTAATTTGAAGAAAAAAAATGAAATCCTGTCCTCCAACTAGGGTTTAACACACTTTCCTGTAACACCGCTAAAACTGATATAAGAAATATAAGACTATTTTTATTTTTGTTTTAATCTTTTGTGTTTCTTTTTTGTTTTCTTTCCAGATACAGTTTATTGAACAGTTCATTGAACTTCTGATATCAGTAATCTCGACTCAAGCGCTAGCTAAGTAGCTTTTAAATAATACAAACAATTAAAGAAATAAAGTTCAGGACCGTAACTATTTATACTTACTCATCCTTGCTGATAAGAGGGTCTATGTACATTCCTAGAAACACGCCTCCTAAAAGATATCCCAAGGCTGGACCTAATATAGCAAACGCTTTAAACACACCTGGAAAACAAAACGATAAATTAGAACCGTTTTGCGTTCAAATTGAAATAAATATTTTATAAAGATTCTCATACTCTATCATTACCCAATTGTTGAGATTCTAACTGTCGATTTGTAAAAAGACCAGTTGGTTTAATTCTTCATTAAATACAAATAAAATGAATTCTAGCAATAAAAAGTTAAATTAAACACACATTGCTATTCTCCCTCCCTTGTGATTGGTGACATGTTTTCTTCTTCATCATCTCCATCATCATCATCATCATCATCATCACCACCACCACCACTATCATCATCATCATCATCATCACCACCACCACCACCACCACCACCATCATCATCACATCATCATCATCACCACCACCACCACCATCACCACCACCATCATCATCATCATTACCACCACCACCACCACCACCACCACCATCATCATCATCATCACCCCCCACCTCTCCTTATCATCAACTCAAATCTCACCTAAATAAATGCCTGCAGATGCAGGAGCTACATTTTCATCGATGTACGTTATTCCCAGGGTGTAGATGGGTGACGCCCCCAGACCATGCAGGACCTGAGCCCCGATAAAGACCCAGTAGTAGTTGCTCAGACCCATGGTATCGGTAGAGTCCGGGTTGTCTTCAGTTCGGTTGAAAGCGTTGCATTCTTCCGAATGAACTTGCTATGGGATATTAAATCGTGAAATTTATACATAAAGACTTGTGATAAATGTGAGTTATTGGTATTTAAAAAATGTATATCAACACGTGACAGTAGCGTATTATTTTAATATAAGTGGATAATTTCTTGAATTTTTGTTCGTTATTTCTATGGGGATAAATTACGATACAAACATGTACTTGTTTGACTATTGAATTGATATATGATGATATGAAAATGAAGATTATATCTTTGAAAGAAAATATCCAGGAAAGGAAAAGCATGTTCTTTGGTGATTGTTTGATTTATATGAAATTTATATGAAAATTATTAAAAATAATATCATTTTTCTTCTCTCTCTCTCTCTCTTTTCATATATCTTTATCTTAAATAAATTTTGTTTCTTCTTCTTTCTTCTTTCTCTCTTTCTTTTCTTTTCTTTTCTTGTAATAAAAAAGAAAATCATCTCTAGCTCACCCCATCATTCACCCTGTAGGGCCCGGTGGTAAACTGCGGCACGGCGAACATGAACGACCCGCAGGCGAACAGAAGAGCTCCTATCCCCAGCCACATGGGCTTGTGACCCCTCTCTCCGACATACGTCACGAAGACGATGATGATCATGACCGTGAAGTCGAAACTGCTGGAGATGAAGCCGCTGCGGACGCTGGGAAAGTTGTAGCGCCGTTCGAGCGACGTGACGACCACGTAGACGAGGCCGTTGACGGTCATGCCTTGCGCGACGACGAAGGTCGACAGAAACACGAGGTAGCCGATGGGGTTGTTGCAGATCTACACGGACAAAGGTAATTAATGACATGACAATTATAACGTTTGTGTCAACATGCAAGATTACTAAAAAGTCAATTTTTCAAAAATTATATCTCGGGGGGGGGGGTATCTTTACTTTTCTAGAGGACCTATAATAATATGCTTCCCAAAATATATATATGAAGTACTGCTCCAACGGAGAATAAACTTAAGAGATAAACAGATATTAGTGATATTTTTTGTACCCGACAAACGGGAGAGTGGTTTGTGACTACTCTCTCATTTTAAATTCTCCTTTCTGTTTCTCTACTTTTTCCAGCTTTCATACAAATCATCTTGTTACAAATATGGGATTACCCTTTAAGTGTAACCTTTTTGAAGGCCGTAAGCCATGTATTGGCAAATGATGTGTAAGCACACCCGGTCCCAAGTCCCTCATCCATTCATTTCATTTTCTGTCCCTAGGTGTTGATAGAACATGAAAGAGGAAGGAGGGGGGGGGGGTGGGGGTAAAGGAAACCTCACCTTAACAAAAAAAGTGTCGGTATTTTGAAAAATGAGTAGCATTCCTGCTCTTTGAGGTACAATATTCTTTCCGAAAATTTACAAGAGAATAAGAGATATATAAATGAAGATATTCTCGGCATGATGTGATGCATTTCAGCATGACATGGGCGCGGCCATTTTCTTGAAAATGTGACGTACCAGTTGAAGTTGGACATGAATCATGCACCAAGCTATAGTTGGAAAGATTTTTAAAATCAATAACAAAACCTTTACTTTTCAATGAGGGAAAATCATAGCTGAAAAGGTGGAAATTTTATTTGTTCACCCCAGGAGAGTACAACTTATTTATGCAATTTGCGTTCTGGCAATTGTAGTACAAAGGATAATAGCAGGTGAATGCAATGCTTCATCACCACACCCACCTCTGGGAAGGAAGCATCCATACATTTGAATAATTTACTTGATAAACGACTTCACCGTCGTAGTACGTCACGTTTTCAAGAAAATGGCGATGCCCATGTCATGCTCAGAAACTGTACATTATTCTTGTTGTATGCCTCTCTCATACACTTTGCTGGGGAATCTTGTAGATTAATGGGCAAGAATATAATAAATCTCTCAGAATAAGTGAAGTTATTTCTTGGGGTGATGTTTCCTTTAAAGATACTATGTCCCTTTTGAAGCCAACCTCAAATTCTGTAGAACTTTGCAGGAATTATGAATATGTCATGTATGTCCTATCTGTGAAATTTAAACGTTAGCAGTGTCCTAATATTTAAATTATGCAAGGAAACCCGTTTACTTGCTAGACTTCATTGTCAGACACTATTGTCAATATTGAGAGACTGACTGGCTTTTTCTTCTTCTTTGGTAATAACATACATAAAATGAGCTCTAAAGGATTTGTCTACATCAACAACCCACTTCTCGCAATGGCCAAAATTAAACTGATTGAATCTTTGCGCAGCATAAAACGTACGACCATGCGGTACAATAGTCTGAAAATCAAGACTATTACTTATTGGCTCTATAGCTCCTAAGTCGATTTGACAACTAATAATCGTTATTTTCCCATTTAAAGACATTTTCAAGCCCCATTTTTTTTAAGGGGAGTTCTAAATTAGTATTATCCCATTTATAGATTTTCACTTCAAGGTATGACGTACATGATGATGGCTTGTTGTCTCTTTACATGCCTTGTCTACAACATTAATTATAAATATTGTGTGGATGTAGCAGGCCTTTGTACAGAATGATGAAGCCATGCATAATGTGCTCCCTTGTCTGAAATTTCTATTGTCAGGAAATTTCGCGAGGGAATAGAATCGACCAGAAACTTTCGTGCGAATCCACCGTAATTAATTTGCAATGAGCGCGTACCAGACAATACATTATTTTAACATTGTACTCTGAACACTATAAACTGAGCCCATCGAACAAACTAGGATCGCAGACATCAGTTCGCAAGCAATGCTTTGTTCGAGGTGATATTGCGACAGTCATAATCCTGTGGATGTATGATGTTTGTATGTTTATATATATGAGCAGCTATACTTGCGCAGCTGCGTACAAGTCATAATACATCCAAATTACACTTTCTAGTTGCATCTGAAGCCATAAAACAGTTTAAAACCTGTTACTGTTGTTGTTGTTGTTCGTACAAACGATACTCTCGTACGAATCTCCCTGTTTTTCCATTGTCTTCCAGAATTTCCATTGTCTGAAATTCGTTCGTACGGCGTTCGTAGCAGATCGTAATGGCATTTGTGACCGAGGCTTTACATTTAAGATTCCCCCATAGTATTTGGAATTGAAGGCAACACAATTAAATTCTTTGTTTTCACCCGTTGCCAATCGTTTACCCGCTTTATACGAAAATATCAAAAATACATTGTTTCATTACGCCCATATTGGAAACAAAGATCATGATCATTATTCATTGTTTATCTACAAAGAAATATACAAAGACTGTGACGTACAAGTTGAAGTTGTACATGAACCATGCACCAAGCTTTAGTTAGAAAGATTTTTTTTTAAAATCAATAACAAAACCTTTACTTTTCTATGAGGAAAAATTATAGCTGAGAAGATAGAAATTATATTTGGTGAAAAATATATAACATGGGAACAATATTATTGTAACTAAACCATTTGCAAGTTCTAAAATATAGCAGTTGACAAATCTATTTCATTTATGAGAAACCTTTCCCCCAGAGTACCAACGTATTTATGCAATTTGCGTTATGGCGATTGTATTACAAAGGATAATAGCAGGTGAAGGCAATGCTTCATCACCACACACACACCTAGAGAGGAAGCATCCAAACATTTGAATAAATTAACTTGATGTACGTCACGTTATCAAGAAAACGGCGATGCCCGTGTCGTGCTCAGAAACTGTACGTTATTCTTGCTTTATGTCTCTCTCAAACACTCTGGTGCTTGTAGATTAATGGGCAAGAATATAATAAATCTCTCAGAATAGGTGAAGTTATTTCTCGGGGTGAGGTTTCATTTAAGGGATCTTATCAAATTTACCCCCCCCCCCCCCACTCAGTGTTATTTAGGGTACGCATGTGCGTGTTCCCAGCAACCCCCCCCCCCCCCCCCTTCAGCAAAAGTCCGGTGTGTAAAGTCAATACGGGTAGACCTTTTTCTTTTGTTATACGAGCCGGAGATTTTAGGAACACGCATGGTATCCCTCTGTTCCCGGAGGGGGGGGGGGGGGGGCCGGGCAATTTTACCGACAAATGAGCCTAAAATGTTTAACACCCCCCCCCCCCTCGAAATAAAACAAATCAGATTTTAAACTCTGCCGATAAGGGTGAAACACCACCTTCAATGACACTATCTTGTATATTGCATTCACAAAATAGCGATATTTTACCAATCTTCTGATTTATTTTCTTGGCAACTATTAACAAATTTCCCAAAATAATAAAATAAAATAACAATAATAACAATAAAAATTGGATATAATTATGTAACTAAGACTTTGTTCTTCGTTATTTTGCAAGTCTTCTCATGATGATTGCCGATGAAATCAGGAATGTAGGTCTCATTATGTAATACCACTTATATAGATTTTCACGTCAAGGTATATTATTACGTATGGTGGCTTGCTGTCGCTGTACATACAAGTACATGTACATGTGTATATGCCTTTCCTACAAAATTAATTTGAAATATTGTGTGGATTTAGCAGACCTTTGTACAAAATGATGAAGCCATGCATGATGTGCTCCCTTGTCTGAAATTTCTATTGTCAGGAAATTCCGCGATGGAATAGAATCGACCAGAAACTTATTAACTAATTAATTTGCAAGGAGTTTGTACCAGACAATACATTAATTATGACGGTATTTTATTCATGTACTCTGAACATTATAAACGGAGCTCATCGAACAGCAGGGGATCATTCACAGACATCAATTCGCATGCAATGTTATGTTTGAGATTGTACTGCGACAGTCTTGCATGTGAATGTATGACGTACTAATTTATGTATATATTAAGCCAACTAAAAAAAACAAAATATTCATTTTTAGCGTCCCCACCCGCTTTTGATCTATTTCTGAATTAATGATTGAAAAAAAAATGCCGGCGGCCATCTTGAAAAATAGCCCGACTGTGAGGGAAAATGTACCGAGCGGCCATTTTGAGCGGCCATTTTAAAGGGAAAAAAAGGGCCTCCTCCTTCCTATTTAACATGTTCGTTTTTTTTCCTATTAAAATATGAGCAGCTTTAATGCCGCAGCTGCATACATAATTATACATCCAAATCACACTTTCTCGTTGCAAATGAAGCCATAAAACATGTCAAAACCTGTTATTGTTGCTGTCATTTTTGTTGCTGTTGCTACCATTTGAGATTCCCCACAGCATTTGAAATTGAAGGCCACACAATTAAATTCTGTGTTTTCACCCGTTGCCGTTCGTTTACCCACTTTATACTAAAATATAAAAATACATCGTTTCATTACGCCCATATTGGAAACAGAGATTATGATCATCAATCATGGCTTATCTATACAAAGAAATATACAAGACTATGTACATGTACATAGCACCATCCATTCCCATACCATGTGTGAAATAAAACGGTATTGTGTGTATACAGGTGAATTGATATTTGTATTGTTCACAATAATGAGGACCATACACCATAGAAATATGTGATTCACATAAGTCATTAATTTGCATAATTGCTTTTCAGATTCACTTATGAAACTTGCTCAATCCACTTATCAAATACATTTCACATAAATCATATTCACAATTCCTGTTTAGATTCACTTATGGAACTTCATAAATCCACTTATCGAGTACTTGTGTCTATGAAACTAATCACAATTGATGCACTGTCGCTTCCTTTTATGTGTCTATTGATTATTAATAGGAGAAGGTAAATTCTGTTTTTGATGTGTGTCTGAAGTCAGTTGTTTAATTGAAGTACCTTTTTATGTAGAACCAGGAAATTTATTGAACTTTTAATTAATTCTCACCATCCACAAGAGTCTAGTGTAGACTACCAGGCAAAATCCAACTGTCTGACACGCGCATTTTAGCCAAGCCTATAATGCTTTTACATAATTTGCCGTTACGTAATAGAGTTGACGGTAATGAAGAATTCAGCGTGTAAACGTACGAAGAAAAGGAGGCAATTATAACTGAAGTCAAAAGACTCTTTTTAAATGCCAGACAAGGAAGTAAATCTGAGGATCATACTAAAACAGGTGCAACCTTTCCGTTAAAACGTAATCCAACCCTTGTAATACGTTCCTTTGTATGAAGACAGGAAACAATTCGAGAAACAACAAGGAGAAAGTTTGTAATAAATCGGACCAGTAATAATAAGAAAGTTATGAGTGTTTGGTCACTAAATCTATGGCTCTAAAATAGACACGGAAGATACTGAACGAGATCAACATGAACATGCTGATTTCAAATTAGGGGGAAAAGATGGAAACTTGACTAAACTATTTGAACCAGAAGATCCCTATACTTTAGTTTTGAGCACATTATGATTATGTTAGTCATACTGTACATGCCAACGCCTCCAGGCTCCACTGAGTATATAGACAATGCTTATTAACAGTACGATATATGCGATATAATATGTTGTATTTGTAAGAATGATATTTAATTCGTCTTGGGTTCAAAATGTACGAATGCTCCCAAACTAGTAAAGGTTATTTAATTTAAGGATAAGTCCTCCAGAAACAAATTCCCAAAATAGTTCAAATTCAGATGTAAAATTTCCAGAGAACATGTTGTATGATAATGACAATTCTAAAGAATAACAGACACAGGAAGTATTCATCGGTTAAATGTACAATGATTTGTCAATGAACAAAATAACAAACAAATAAACAAAAGAAAATAAAAGAAACAACAAATAACCCCTTCCCCCGAAAAAAAACAACAGCGTTTAAGTATTAGTCTATGCATGTACAGTGTATTTCATTTTTTAAACGGGAATTGTCACATACGGACATTGAATGTCACAATACGCGCTGAATCAGTCTATCAAAAGTGATTATTAAAACATATATACTGTATACAGTCATGTACATCATTCATTCAACCAAGTACTGACTCATTGTCATATTCCCCCTTTTAGACGATTCACAACAATGTCCTTGAGTCTTGAGTCTTGGTGAAAATATCAATCCACCGTACACGCGTTGCTATGGTAACAACGAAGTCACTATGGTGTTGTGAGAAAAGTGCTTCTTGGCTGTACGCCAAAAAAACTATTACCCACGATGTTTCATGAATGAATGATGTTTATAAAATGTTCGTAGTTCCGTATGTACAAAGATGTTCGTGACTCACTCTGCAGCCTCTGAATAGACCCGACCATACATGTAATTTAATCATTCATACTAAAATCCGCAACATATCGTGCGTGTAGAACTATATTGAACCTTGATTTTTATATGTGCTGTACAGTATCTGTGTGGCAATAAGACGTATGTCGATTTTGCAAATATTATTTGCCTTAAACTTCCTGGAGCGTTGGGAGGTGTGGTACGATTACAATCTACAATGTACATGGATAGTTTTCTTTCTTTATTTATGTTATTATTGTTTAAATCAATCTTTTAAGATTTGCAAACAAATTAAGATACTTAATTAAATGTAAGAAACAATAATAAATGACAAACTACACTGTTGGTCATAATGGTGGAATATTTATTTTTACCCCAGTTTAGGAAAGGATTAAAAAAATTATTTATTTCTTAATAGATCTAGATAATGGCATACATTCTCAGATTTTATTGAATATTAATTTGCGAGTGTTTGTTTTGCATGACTGCTAAATCATATGTGTGCTACTATGTTAATCAGCTAGGGAACCTACGTCCTTAAATCATAATTGACAGTAATTAGGATTAATGCCTCAAAAAAGGGCACTAATATAGCTGATCGACACGATTTTTATCCTGGGGCCTCACAGTAACGAGGCCATTACTTAGCCCCTGAATAATGACTGTACGCAGTGTTTGCATATCAGATTTGATATCGAATCGTGTTCATCCGATTATTACCTATTAAGCTCTGAGTCTGACCATAGACGTAATAGTATGGTCTGACCAATTAATGGTTTCATTCTGAAATTTGAACACTTGGTTGTGAATAAAGGGACACACTTCTTTCATCCAGTTGAAGGAAACAGTATGCCCATATAGTCACCAAGGATCAAGGCGTTTTTTTTCGTAGAGGTCTATGGTCGTTTTTTTGTTTGGAGGACACCCCATCCACACCCTCCCTTGGGACTACCAACTCGGTTGGCAAGACGGTTACAAACCGGTCGTCATTGTTCTTCGGATGATCCGGAGAACGCAACCGGTGCTCCCAACATTTTCTCCGGCAAAATTGCTCCAAGCTTCAGTTTATGGAGGAATTTGTAGGAACATTGACCGGGAAGCACGTGTTGCACAACTCGGCAACATAATCTGCATAACTAACCACGTAGAAAATCAACCGACTCTAACCAACATGGAAGACGTCGAACCAAAAGACACATGTCATTAGTTACCCGTCGTCCAGTATGTAACGAGTGGTCGTCTTTATTGAGGAGTAATTATCACTGGTGTAGCGTGACTCCAATAATTGAAGGGGAGGCGGACACTGGTGTCGTTCGAAGAGCACATTTCGCGCGAACTTTACTAGGTGAATGATTTGCGAGAGAGAGGCCGCCGTCGTCTACGGGTTAAGGTGTAGAATGTAGAATAATCTGTATTGCCTCCCCTCCCTCCCTCTCCTCTCCCCCTCTTTTTTCTCTACGTTCTTTTGCGCTATTCAGTTGAACGGGGCCTCATGACCCCCCCCCCCCCCCAATTATAACTACGGCACTGGAAGTCATCATGCTGGTCGTAGTTGTATCGAGTAATAATTAAAGTGACAAGATAGTTTTCCAAGCTCAGGCGTTCCGGATTCCATGACACATGCACCCGTAACAATTGCTCTGCTGTCACGTTTCTAAACTTGCTGAACCCCCAGCATCAACCCTTTAAGTGACTCGGTAACATTGTCGAAGGTTGATGAAAAAATGCGTGATTTTTGTATGAAATGTTACTTCTTATATTCCTTCTACCGTACATACCCTCTAACATGCAAAAAATCCTTTAAAAATTCGCAAACCACAAAGATATTTATGGTTTTCTTTGAAGGCGCCACTATGCGAAACCCTGTTACATTATTCTCCCAACCAATTTTTGTATTTTCCCAACCGTTTTCCATGAAAATAAGACATAGAGCAGTCTTTTAAAAATATTTTAATTCTTCAATCTTTGGAATGGTATATAGAGCCAATTTATTGCTTTGTGACGATTTTCAATGACCTACACTTTAATCAAAATGTAATAATATAGTTGGGAGAATTCTGGAATCGAACAGATCATTTTTTTCAATTTGTTATCATTATTAATGGTTTGTTTTTCACTTAAACTTTCAGATTATCTTTAGTTGTACATCTAGCATCTAGCAAGTCACTACCTTAGCACCATTTTCTCTCATCTGAACAATGTTACAAAGTCCCTTTAAATCAAACAACATTCATAACAATACCTTAAATTAACTTAAATCTGAAACTAAAACCACAAGTTTAGAAACCATAGCTATTAATTACCCTTATCCTTTATAATTGGAAAAGTACAATCCGAAGTAAATGACACCCAAGCAAATATTATCAGTTACCGCATTCGGAGAAATGTTATTTCCGGACTTGCAGAAGCAAAAGTCCCCATTCTGGAATATAATCAAATTAAAGGAAAATAAAATGAAAGTAAGAGTACATGGAGTTGGTGGAAAGGTGGTAACCTTCCAAGGAGTCAACTGTAGGTTAGCTCAGTGGGGGGGGGGGGGGGGGGGGGTTCAGAGTGCGTAATTGTTCTACAATTATTTGTTTGTTTGTTTGTTTGTTTACCTGAATACATTTTGGTCTCCACTTGTGCCAACCGCACTGGGGGTTGTCATCTTCCTCCTCCTCTTCCTCCTCAGCATCATCCGCCTCTGTTATCATTTCGCCGTTGAGCTTGTGGGTCCCATTGTGAACACCTTTCTTCTGCAAGGTAACACCATCGTCGAACTCGATGCGCACCGCGGTTCCTTTGCTGGCGGGCGCGCGCTTGTTCAGTTCAACAGCCGAGACGTTCGATAATCCGATATCGATATCGCCGATCGTCTGCACGTCGGCTGGGACGTCCTGCTCGTTGTTGGTGAGCGAGTCACGTGACCCAACCTGTTCTGATTGGACCATGTTGTTGGAATTCGCGTTGCCTGGATTTTTCGTCGCGTCTAAAGAGGAGAGACCTGCACGATGAAGAGAGAGAGAGAGAGAATGAGAGAGAGAGACAGAGAGACAGAGAGAGACACAGAGAGAAAGAGAGATGAGATACCAGTAAGTTTGATGCATCAAGTTTCACCATTAAACATTATTAATCATTATATTATTTGACAATCATGGGTGCACGTATTCATGTTTCTGTCTGCTAGATTGTAACACGACTCGAATAACTTCATAATTCCGGCATGCAGAATATTAAGTAGCATGTCCTCGGCTATCTAAAGCAATTATTCCATGATTTATACAGGCATTGGCCATACGGTTACAGATAAAGTTGAGTTCTGGTCATGCGATTGCATTGTGAGAGAAACGTTGTGGAATCGATCAGAAAAGGATGATCATCTACATGTACATGTAGCACATACAGTGTAAGTATTGGTGTGTACTGCAAAGTTCTGGAGTCATCAAAATCATAATAAATGTGGCCCAGTCTTGGTACAGTAACAAGCACTGTACACAGAAAGATGTATGGGACTACACAAATAGTGTCGGGCCTACTTACCTTAATTTCCTTATCTTTCTATGCTCATTACTTTAGCCAGTATACAATGTTCTACCAAGATTGTTTGGCAAATGACATTTTATTTGTAATCTTTAACATTCAGTGTAAGTTCCGTTTGATTCCGTGAGAATTTTTTTTTTTTAAACCAGAACTCAAGATTATCTTTAATAACTAAATTATTCATAGTTCCATACCCTTACAAGGTTTGGTATTTTTTAAGTTTGTAAAAATTTGATTCATGTTGATTGAGAATACGGCAAAGTGTTGAAGCTTTCATCTAAAAGTATTCAACAAAGCCCTCATTCATTACATTCCTCCTTTCATTGTTGAGTTACGAAAAACGCGCACAGAGCACTAAATTTCCAAAGGGAATATAATATAATTTAATTGTTAACTGTATTCGAATCCTTCGCCATAAAGGCTGAATAAAATACACAATGAAGATTACAACTTGTAAAGAAATAAGGAAGAATCCAATTAAAAATGTTACGCATGCCCTTTCCAATACGATTCATTCAGAATGAAAAAATACCTCAGCAATGAGAATTAATCAATCATGATGCCAAATTATAGATTTTTGTAATCATCATAGCTTGCTATAATTTTCTAATTTAAAAGTCGTTTTTTTAATCAATGAAAAATGTAGTTAATCAATATAAGTGATTGCTTTGTAAAACTAGCAGTCATGGTTTTTTACGAGGGGGATATCATTTAATTATTATGTTCAATTATGGCGAGCCGTTCATCACACACTTTGAGAAGACGGGTCTTTTTATTGCTAAAGTCTCGGTCACAAATGCCATTACGAAATGCTACGAACGCTGTACGAACGATTTTTAAACAATGGAAATTCGGGAAGACAATGGAAAAACAGGGAGATTCGTACGAAATTTTCGTTCGTATACGAACCTTTGTGACCGTAGCATTACATTTACATCGACATGACTGTGAAAAAGAATTACCAATCGACTTAGCTGTATTTTATGCCAGCAATTACATACACTGTACATCGAAAACGTATCTTTTCATGATAGACGTGACATGTGTAGATAACGGATTCAGGAAATTAGTAAATTGCTGATGTCCACCTGATTTCAGATATCCCAAAACAAAACAGTCGGGTAGACGATAAAACTGAGTCTGATTCTCAGAAATAGGATATCCGTTTTCCTGTTGCTGAAAAAATTGTCAACTGGAGTGGACCACAAGGCCTGAGCAGATAAAGGGCATTGCAGAACCAATTTTGAAAAACACGGAGACGAAATACTAGATACGTGCTCATGAAAGTTATATAATCACTATTCATTCATGCACATTTAGTGCACTCCATGAGCGCGTTTATCTAGGCTTGCCACTAGATATGTACATATCGTACCCCACTATCGAACCCCACTATCATACCCCACTATACGATCGTGATTTGCGGGATGTCGCGTTTATCTACTCTTCACGATTCAAAATAAAGGCCTTGTGTCTGCCCAGCTGTTTTGACCCGGGAAGCAGACAGTTTCTCGGAGGTCAAATTCACACACATGCTTGTACACAACACCTGTGTGGTCCTATTTGTATGTGACGTTCAAAACAGCTTTGCGTTTATCGACCTCTCAGAAACGTGATTCTGGCTGTATGTCACATACAAAACGCACCTTTTTGCGTCTTTTGATATGCCCATATCTAAAGACGTTTGAAAAAGGCTTTGCGTTTATCTACTTCTAAATTTGCCTGAAAGACGTTTGAGAAACCTGATTCTAGCCAAAAATTTCCTAGATAAACGCAACCCATGATACACAGGTGGAAGTATTCTTTGAAAAGGGGAAACAAAGGTTATTTATATAGCACCTCCATCGCTGTAGGAGTGATTATTTCAAAATGAACAAAGTGGGATCTCTTCATGTTTTGAAGATCTGTGGATATTCGGGGTCATTGCAGTAATGTGCTAACCGTGAACTGGTCTATTGAGAAGACGAAATACTTCATGCATTACTAATCGTTAACTAAACGGAGTTTGTTGTTTGTTGCTACGGCAGGCAGCCAGTGAAAACGAATTCGTTTAATACAATTATGGAAATGCAAGCATTATACTTAAAACAAACAGATCTTTGTTTTTCCTGGCTCATTTTTCCTGATTGAGGTGTCATTATGAAAGCTAGGGCAGAAAATGAACTTTCTAGAAATGTGGTTTACTCTTTAAAAAAATTCTGATACCGTTTACCAAATGACTTTTTCAGTGGTGCCCTTTCTTAAAATTGTTATTAATCACTCATGCGTGACATATGCAGCATATGAGTTGCATCAAATGAAAGAGAAAGATCTAAGCTTTACGAATATGTGTCATTTATTAATTATAATTGTGATTAAGTTATGATAAAACATCAATAATTCTCGGTTTCGTTTTTTCTTGGACGCACTGTATATTAGCCTGGTTCCCTGCAGACTGTGAAGTAGGTTTTCCCACTCTCAACCTAACGGTTTTGGACTGGGTCTATTGACTATACATGTATCGAGAAGGCCTAGATCTGATATAGACGATCCTGAATGATCCCTCTCATCACAATTCGGGAATGAAAGATGATAAAGGGTAATAAGACTCAACCCAATATTCCAAAAAGAGAGGATGGAATGCAAGCTCATATGGACGGTCTTGAATTCCTCTGAAATCTAGTCGTCATGATGAGTTAAATGATTATAGGGTTATTCGGGATAGGCTGGAATTCTTATTGCTCCACATTATATTTACAAAGGAACATCCCCCAGTATATTACAATTATTAAAGGGATCGGGCATCTTTGTCTCAGATTCAAAACAAAGTCCTGGATTTAGCTCATGTTGCAAAAATTATAAACCTTTAAGTCAGTCAGGAATCCCATGACGTTTACAAGCCGATCGCAAGTCTGAATATCAAGATATTTATGATTGGAATTTGAAATGTCAAAAACCGTATTCCAAACGGTTTTTATAACACAACAGTCTATTGAGGAAAATTAGTATGGTAAAATCGGTCACTCAAAGATTTTTACCTTAATACTTCAATCAAACCGAATAGCTTTTGCCATTAGGAGTTGGTTCGGTGTGTTGTCGGTGTGTTGTCGGTGTGTTGTCGGTGTGTTGTCGGTGTGTTTTTGGTCTCATTGGTGTGACTGGGGTATAAAGGTTAAAGGTAAAGACCAGTATTGGAAACGCCCCAATTTCAAAAAATGAAATGGAAGCTCTCATTACCAATCATGTGAAAGAATATGTTTTGACTAATACATGATGATAAAAAATTTGCCGGGAAACCGCCTACTAATTCATATATTTGGTAAATTTGTTTCTCTCATGGTCTGTGAGAGATATAGGGTAGTCCCATATACATCTTTCTGTGTATAGTGCTTGTAACTTTACGAAGAATGGGCCAAATTTCTTATCATTTTGATGATTCCAGAACCTTGCAGATGCTAGATGCTAGATGATCAACCTTTTCTAAACGATTCCACAACGTTTCTTTCACAATGCAATTGCATGACCATAACTGGTCTTTACCTTTAAAGAGAAGGTTGAGTTCTGGGAAGAGGTGAAAAATAATTTGTGAGCGTTACTCATTCTTATTATGCAAGTGTGGAAGAACATCAGATAAGACATGTTCCCTGAAAAGAGTGGCTCTTCAAATGCCTTCATATTCTAAATATGCATGTAACATCGTAAAAATCGGGGGCCCGGCTTTTTACGCCACGTGTTCGTGTAGTCCCATACACATCTTTCTGTATACAGTGTGTGTAACTTTACCAAGACTTGGCCAAATTTCTTATCATTTTGATGATTCCAAAACCCTGCGATACACACAAATTCTTATATGCTAGATGAGCAACCTTTTCTGGTCGGTTCCACACCGTTTCTTTCACAATGCAATCGCATGACCAGAACTCAACTTCATCTTTAAACACTTTTCTTACAACTTTCACAGGTCAATAATATCAATAATAGCCTAATAGTCTTTTTATTAAACCGAAACGGAAATTCTTTTTGCCCAATTGATCGTGAGCCCGGCAGCCACTGAGCAGCGCCAGATCGACGTTGCTCCCTCATTGTTGAACGCCAAACAAGGTAGCAACAACTCCCATCTTTTTACGTCTTTTGGTATATCGAACCCACGACCTCCCGGTTGTGAGGCGGACGCTCTACTGACTGAGCCAACACTCCGGTGGTTTCGGTTAGTTTGATGCCAGATCAACTACAATGTATACTCTCAAAATATAATTTAAAAAACATCTGTAGTTCTTTTTATAACCGGAAAGTTAAGAAAGGAAACGATGCATGAGATAACGATGAAATAACATTGTTGTTTGAGAAAAATTTAAACAAGGCCCAAAATAATGTTAAGCCCTGAACCCCTCTTTTTCAGTGGCATAGAACACAAAGGAGAAAAATAATCGTAAGAGGAAACTTGGAGAGCCAGGATACTGCATGGAGGGAAATGAATAAGGAGGG